CCCAAGCCAGTGTCGCACCGCCAGGGGAGGACAGATAGATAGAGAAGTAAACTTGAGCACTGTCCAAGTTCACCATGCGCTACCTGTGTGACCTTGGGCAAAGTGCGTCATCCCTGCATGCCTCAGTTCCCTCATCTGTAGAATGGGCAGATGAACAGCGTCTCACTCACAGGGGCGGTATGTGAATGATGTGAGACCCCGCACTGCAAGGGATATAGAAGAGCTCCTGGTCCCCAGTAAGGAAAGCTGTTACTATGGCTTTTGCTACTTTCCTGATCACTGTCAAATGAATTCCAGAAGCAAGTACCCTTGTTAACAGTATCTTTCACATGAGAAAACAGAAGCCCACAGGGCGCAGCCACTCACCCTGGGACACACAGCCAGATGCAGAACCCAGGTCTTGCTGACACTCTTTTCCCTAAGCCAGGGCTTCCTAAATCTTTTGGGGCCCATGACCTCCTAGAAAATCCGTTGGAAACAAAAGATCCTCTTGCCAGACACATACATAGACACAAACTGTATAATACAATTTCCAGGCGTTCCCAGCCCCTCTGGGGCCAGCCATACTGGGACCCAGGAAGACAAAATTCCACGGATTCTGAGCTAAAAAAAAAATCCCCATCTTACATCTTGCCGTATTCTACAGAGTGTATTCTTTTGTTCTTTGGAAAACAGTGCTGAAAAATGCAATAAGTAATTCAGACTCTTTGGCTCCAAACTTGCTGGCCACATTCTTGCCTTCTCTTCCTGGTCCAGACAGGTGAGGCCAGCAGAGAGATCTAACACTCCGCTGTGCTCGGCCCTGACCCCTGTGGATGGTCCAGGCACTGTTCCTCAGGGCTGCTCCTGCCCTCAGGAAAACACCACCTCTACCGCTGGCAACATGCCTTGACGTGTACGCAGGTCGCTATACATGCTGGACATTCTCTGGTCCCGCCACATCCATCCGCGGTCCTGCTCTGTCCTGGGAAGGCTGAACCCTATTGAATGCGTCACAGGGACAATCTGGGCCTGTGGCTGACAAGTGGGATGGTCTGATGGGCGGGAGAGAGAGCTGCAGCTGTCTGATCCCAGCCCCTTCCTGCTGTGCTGCTGTCCTCTGGCAGCGGCTGTCCCTCCACGCTGCGGTGCCCACTGGTAGCTGCTCCTAGGCTCCTGCCCTCACTGAACCCCAGGGATATCACGTCCTCCCGCTGCCCTTTCAGCCCCTGGGGAGGTAAGAGCTCTGGCGCTGCTCCCCTCTGGCGCCCCAGCATCCTGTGCTCCGTTGGCACTTCCTACACCCCTGTCAGCTGCCACTGCATGACAGGCTCTTTCTATGATGTGAATTCTGTTCCCTCCTGGGGCCTCGGCCCATCTCCTGTGGCACTGGGGAAGGGTCCCTTAGTTCTCATCTTCGACACACTTGGGGACCCCAGAGCTGATGTCCCCATCTAGAACCTGGGAGGGCAGGGCTCTTTCAGAAGGACTCAGGGGTGGAAACACGTGGCTTGGCTCTGACACTCAAGCCTGTCCTCAGGGGCCTCATCTCACCTCTGCATGTTGGCTTCCACATCTGTGCTATGCAGACGATGAAACGTGCACATTACAGGGCCTTTTATGAGCACGTGCTGTGTCAATTCTGAAGGGCCAGCAGTGTTTGTCATTATGATTTGTTACTCATTCTCCCAATTTCTGGAAGGAACCCGACAGATCTTGGGTTCATGGTCTGGATGAGTCAGAAGGGCCAAAGCCATGTAGTCAGTAAACACTCACACACCCCAGATTTAATAAGGGCCTGGCCTTTCTTTTTCTTTCTTTTTTTTTTTTTTTGAGATGGAGTCTCGCCCTGTCACCCAGGCTGGAGTGCAATGGTGCCATCTTGGTTCAGTGCAATCTCTGTCTCCCAGGTTCAAGTTATTCTCCTGCCTTAGCCTCCCAAGTAGCTGGGACTACAGGTGTGTGTCACCATGCTCAGCTAATTTTTTTTTTTTTTGTATTTTTAGTAGAGGCGGGGTTTCGCCATGTTGGCCAGGCCGGTCTCAAATTCCTGACCTCAGTGATCCACCCACCTTGGCCTCCCAAAGTACTGGGATTACAGGCCTGAGCCATCATGCCCAGCTAGGACTCTTTCTTGAGTGACGTTTGTAAGTATAACATGGTTGGAACAGGTGGGTGGGGTGGGAGGCTCTAGAGCCGGTCTGGAGTTCAAGTCTGAGCTCTGCCACTTCCTCGCTGCACAGACACAGCACTGCATGCAGCTGCTACAGTTACTGCGGAGACCGAGACAATGCCCATCTGAGGATGGCCCCTGGTGCACAGTGAGTGCTTAATAAACACTAGTTGTCATAAATCACTGCAGTGCTTGGCAGGCCTCAGTTCTCTCATCTGTGAAATGGGGCTAATCATGCCTATCTCATAGGGCTGCTGGGGAGTGAATGGGAAGATGCAGGCGAATGAACTGTCTTTGTTACTGTTACCATTCTGTCTGCCCTGTCTGGGGCTTGGCCTGGCCGGTAAGCGGCTGTGGAGAGCCAATTCCACAGAAATGATGCCGGCCAAGTCTTTCCACTGTGGCGAGGCAATGGTGCTGTCTTTGGAACTCAATTTATTGAAGGGGGCTTCTCTCTAAGGCTGGGCAGAACTGCTGAGCCCGCACTCCTCGGCTGGCCTGGGGGTGGGGGATGGGGTGACAAGGGAGATGGTCGCCCCGCCTCCGCTCCGCTCTGGGGAGAGTTCCTTACACAAACATTTGCCCACGGGTGCATTTGGTCCTGTCAATGGTTGTCAATAAGGACAGGCTCTTTTTCTGCACATCAGGATTTGGGGCCTTATTGAGTTGTGAGCTTGCAACTGTGTATTTAGCCTTCATTTCTCTGGTTCCACATTTGCCTCAGCTCAAATATTCCCCACCCTGAGACTGGGCACCTGGCATGTGCCAGATACTGTCCTGGGCATGGGACCCAGGGAAGAACTGATCACTAACAGAGATAAGAACGACACAGCCCTCACATGGGGGAGGCACGGGTCCAGAGAGGATAACAAACCACAAAGAAGTAAGTTACAACAGGGCAAGAAAGCACAGTGACAGAGAAGTGTAGAGTATGGAGAAATTACTGATACCTGTGGAGGGGGAGGGAAACAGGAAGGCTTCCTGGAGGAGGTATCATTCTATCTGGGTTTGATGGCATTTTCCATGTCAAAAAAAAAAAAAAAAAAAAAGGTGAGGGGCAAGGCATTTTAAGCAGAGGGAACAGCATGTGCAAAGGCATAGAGTCCTGCCTGGAGTTTGGGGAACAATGAACTCTGTAGGAGGTGTGGTGGGAGGAAGGAGGAGTCTGGGAAGATCATGGGTGTGTGCAGGAGGCCATGTTCTAAGGGTGTGGCAGGCTGGGCTAGAGTCAGGGGGCTTCCCTGCTGTTTTTTGGAGATCCCACTGTGGGGGATGCAGCCCTGCTGCATCGCTGAGACGCTGCTTCGCAGAGTCGTTTCGCCCTAAGCAAGACCGGCGGCCCCACCGGAAGACTCCCATCTCCATAAACTGTTCCCAAGGTGCTGCCTGGTGCAGCAACAGAGCCGTATGGTCAGGATAGAGGGCAAGCACTCCTGGCTCCAGGTTCTATGTCTACACAGAGGAGTGGGGCTGGGGGATGCTGGCTGCTAACACCCTCCTTTTGTGCCCAGGTGACATCCTTGGCCCTGGGTTGCCCCACAGGGAAGGGGATGGATGAAGGCACAATGGCGGCTCCATCCAGCAAAGCACCTGAGACCCAGGCGACAATGAGGTGGGAGGAATGCGATGGCGTGCCAGGAAGACCTGAGAGCACCTCAGGTGGCACCACAGACAGAACTGTCCCCCATGACGGAGCCTGGCTTTTCCGGGCATGCAAAAGGTAGAGAAGCTCCCTAGCTGGATGACGCACACTAAGGAAGCAGGATCCAAAGTAGGTGGGAAGCCGGCAGCTGCCCTTTTGCTGCGGGCCCAGGCCGTAGCGGAAGCACTTCTGCGACGGGTGGCGGAGAGGTGGGATGGGGTTCAAGGTCAAGCACCCCTTGATATCCCAAGTTTTGGGGGAGCATACTGGACAGCAAGGGGCACCTGCCATGCCTTCCACGTACCCAGGGCGGAGCGATTCTCAGGGCTCTCTCACTCCCTCCTCACCTGACTCACAACAGCCTCCTGGGCCGACCTCATCTGCTCCAACCATGCCGGCCTCCCTGTTTCTCATGCACACTGAGCTTGCTCCAACCTCGGGGTCTCCCCTGCCTCTGGCTTCCTGCTTGGGCGGCCCTTTCTTGGGTACAGGTGTCATCTCTGCAGTGAGGCCTCTCTAGTCCACCTGAGGAGCAATGTGTCCCAGCCTCTTCGACCTGAGCCTAGGGCCCTGCTTGTCCACTGCCACGAGGGTACATGAGGGCACAGCGGGCACTCAGTATTTTCTGGCCACCACCTGAACTGTCACTGAGGCCACATGATGCCACCAAGCTGGGTAAGAGGTGAGTGAGACCTGCGGGTATCAGGGCCCCAGCAGGAAGTAGATGGTCCTCCAACGAGGTCACCGAAGAAAGCGAGCAGCAAGAGTGTGGCCCCCCAGGAAGGCCGTGAGCATCCCTGCCCTTCGGACGCTGGAATCTGGACACAGAGCACTGTGAGGACAGGGCCAGCAGCCGTGAGCTGTGGCCTGGCAGCCTGGCAGGCAGGGAACGGATAAACACTCTGACCTCCGTCTCTTGCTGCCAAGGCCCTCAGTGACCCAACCCGACTGCACCCTGAGAGCACACAGAACATGGATGCTTCTGCACACACCAGGCTCCCGGCAGGGACTGCCCCAGGCTGGTGGAGGCAGGTCTGCGGGACTGAGAGGGGATGCCCAGCAGGAGGTGCTTGGCAGCCCTTGTGCCACAGCCTGCTGGGTGGACAGCAGTTCTCTCAGAAGCCCCACCCACCTCTTGTGTTCCCCAGGGGCCCATGAATCAGCCACAAGACCTTCGAATCAGCCACAAGACCTTCCGGCTCCTACCGTGAAAGTGTGCAGCCGTCTTCTGCCGCAGGGCCTGCAGGGTCACCTCAGCATCGGCCCACTCCAGCACCAGTCTCCGGCCATACAAGTGGGTGCTGTGACACAGGGCGTTGAAGGCTCTCTGCAGAGGAACAGGAAACGAAACTGCACATCAGCTGGATCAGCGTGCCAGACACTCCACTCTGCCCGCCAGCTGCCTGCCCACAGCACAGATGCCCAAGCCCAGGTTCTGGCCCCGTGACATCTGATCTCCAGCGAGGGTTTGGGGAGCGGTTGGGCGCATCTATTTAATTAGTGGGTTGCGTTCCCAGGGAGAAAGCTGCAAGTGGCTGAGCAGTCAATATATCCACCGTCTGGGCCATAATTGGCGCCTGGGCCGAGGCAGTCGTCTATTTGCAGCGTGTCATCCGATCTGCGGAGGGCGACCCCATTAGTGGGCTCACCTCCCACCTGGCTGTCTGTATGGCAGCCACTTGAGAAAGCCATGCCCTGGCCAGCCGCCGATGACAAGCATACAGGCTTGTCACCTGGGTGTCACTTGGTGCTGCTCTCCTTCACTGCCCTGGTAACTCTGTCCCACACATTGCTCTTGAAGGGGCCCCTTCTGTCCCTGCTGCCAGTGCCCTTTGCCTCCTCGCTGGTCCCCCGGCCCTTTGCTCCCAGCCTGGGTCCTGGCGCAGGCTGTTCCCACTCACTCTTTGCTGTTCCCGACCCCCACATGCTGCCTGGTTCCCTCTTTCTACTTTTTAACAGCTATTCTGAGATAGAATCCGTGTACTTCATACACCACTTGTCTGAAGAAGACAATTCAGTGGGTTCTGGTATTATCATGGAGCTGTGCAAAATGTCACCATATCAATTTTACAAGGTTTTCATCAGCCTCAAAGGAAACCCCACACCCCTTAGCTAGCAGTCCTCCAGCCCCTGGCAACTACCTGTCTGGTTTCTGTCTCTGGATTTGCCTATTCTGGACATTTCATATGAACGGAATCATATGGAAGTGATCAGTACCCTCTTAAACACTGCTAGGTCTCAAGTTCAACGGCACTGCCCAGGGACGTCCTCTCTGACTTGATGGGCTCATCCAAAATGCCCCCATGGTACAGGGAGGCTGTGAGCTTAGTAGCCAAAAGCCTGGAGTCTGAGGTCACCCTGCCCAGGAAGGGCAGACCCTGCAGGTCTTAGCTTGAAGATCTTGGGCAAGCTAAAGAAACTGTCCTGGACTCTGCTTCCTTATCTACACAATGGGTACGTGCACATAGGCCAATCTCAGGGGTTTCCAGGACAAAAACGAGTTCACACAGTGTCTAGAACAGTGCGGGGTCACTGTGATTGCTCAATACACGTTGCTTCTCGCTGCGGTTTTGTTACTGTAGACATGACATTTGCAGTTGCTTTCTCTCCGCAGAGAGCTTTTGGGCAGGCATGGTTTAAAGAGCACTAGGCCCCAGGTGCTCGAGCGCTGGCAGTGGAGAGCAACGGTGGCTAAGGAGGTGCTTTGCTCTGCCTCTGGGTTGCAGAGAGCACCAATGGGTGCAAGCAGAGGGGGGGCTTGCTGCTCTTGTTTCTTTGATGCCGTGAGGCATCATGTAACCGGAAGGGTCTGGATGGGAATCCATCCAACTGTGCTCCTGATCTACAACGTGGCTCTTACGGTTGGACCACGTCCCGCAAGAGGAGACAGGTTGGGTCCTAACCCCATGAACTTCAGAACGTGACCTTATTTGGAAATGGTAGTTGCAGAGGTCATCAGTCAAGATGACGTCACACGGGAAAATGGCTGGCCCTGAGCCAATGACGGGTGTCACTGGATGGCCACGTGAAGACAGAGACATAGGGTGAATGCTGGGGACGGGAGGTGTGGGGTGGAGGCAGACACTGGCTGATGAGTCTACAAACCAAGGATGCCAGCTATCCCTAGCAGCCAGGGGAGGGCACCACGAAGGTTCCCCTTGGAAGGAACCAATCCGGCCAGCACCTTGATTTTGGATTTCCAGCCTCCAGAACCGTGAGACACATTTCTGGATTTTTAAAATGTTCTCTAAGGCAAGGTCTCGCTCTGTCACCCAGGCTGGAATGCAGTGGTGTGATCATGGCTCACTTCATCCTCAGACTTCTGGGATCAAGAGATCCTCCCACCTTGGCCTACCGAGTAGCTGGGACCAGAGGCACATGCTACCATGCCTCGCTAGGTTTTCAATTTTTGTAGGGATGGGGTCTCCCTGCATTGCCCAGGCTGGTCTTGAACTCCTGAACGCTAGTGATCCTCCCGCCTCAGCTTCCCAAGTGCTGGGATTACAGGCCTGAGCCACTGTACCCGGCCCATTTCTGTGGTTTGAAGCCATCAGTCTGTGGCATTTTGTTACAGTTGCCCTAGGGAACTGACGCAGTTGGGTAATCATCTGCCACATCTTGAGCCTCAGTTTCCCCATCCGTGTTGGGACTGGCTGTGGGACATACATAAAATGAGCATGGAGGGCAGCACATAGTATACAGTCAATAAACAAATGAATCCGAAAAGACGGGAGGGAGGTGACTAGAACATGCATCTTTTTAAAACTAGACATGCGGCCAAATTAAAGAAATGCTTTGTTCTCCTCCGTGCTGTTCTGAGGAGGACCAGGTGCAGAAAACTTTTTCTTTCCTTTTTTTTTTAACTTTAATTTAAAAAAACTCTGACTGCCAGCAGAGCCTCTGCATTTTTTTCCATGTGGATATAAAAATGCATCTGGACTCCGAGCCGAAATGGCCCATTCAGAGCTTTAAAACACACGCGTTCTCAGCTGGCGAGGCAGAGAAACGGCTTGACTGGGGGTGCTGGGGTTTTAAGATGAGGGAGAGGAACTGGTGGGGAGTCTGGGGTGGCGGATGTTCCATCCTCGTGCCAGGGTCCCCGAGGAGTTGTGGTCCCTGGGACACGATGGGGTGGGGGTGGCCAAGGGGATGCATCTGGTGAATGCTAGGCTGGAACTCCGAAGAATGGAGTAAGATCCCAGGAGGTAGGTCTGTGTGAGAGGCCCCAGCCCCAGCCTCTCTGATTCCTGCTAACAGATTTCCATGTTTCTTTCTCTCCCTTGGAAACCACTTCTCCATTCCAGTGCCACAGAAAGCCCAGGGAGGTCTCCATTCATTGCAGGAGTTACTAAAAAATGCCCTCTCCTGGCTTCTTTGTGATATCACCTCTCACAAATGTTCATCTCTCCCCTCTGCACTCCTCTGACACATTCTTGGCTTCTCTCTGGAAGAGCTCTTCATTCTAAGAGGGTTGGTGGCATGGCAGTTTAGAGGATGGACTCTGCTGCTGGCCTGCCTTGGTTCAAATCCCTGCTCCAGTGCTTACGAACTGTGTGATCTCGGGCAAGCTGCTGAACCTCTCTGGGCCCAAGCTTCCTCATATGTAAAAGAAGGGCAGCAGCAAAGAGTAGTGAGAATTCAGGGAACTGTGAAGTCTGACACTTAGAACGCTGCCTGGCACATAACAAGAGTCACTTAAGATTGGCTGTTATAATGATGTACGCCTCCATTTTTTCATTATCCTGCTAAAGAGCAGGGCCAAGGGAAGGTAAGACACAAAAGCTCTTGTATTCGAGGTTAGAACGCAATGCGTGGTTCTCCAAAAATAGCAGAATTACCCTGCCGCGTTCTAGTCCCTGCAGGTTAATATGAAATCAGGTTGTGTTCCCGAGTGCCCACTACCTGGGTGGCTGGAATGTGGTGGCCTCAAACTGTCGCAGGCGGTGTGAGGACAGTGATTTGAGGCTAAAATTGGCCTTGGATAATCCAGAGTAATTGTGTTTCATTAAAAGAGTGTAAGGAGAGCTTGTCATATTTGACACATTCTAGGAGGCAAGGCAGGTGGGGAGAGGAGGAGGAAGATGCAGGCCCGGGCCTCAAGGGGCTTTCGTGGCACCGGAAAGACTGAGAGGAGCTTGTTAGGTTCCAGGCACCACAGAGGGCAAAGTGCAAGCCAGAGAGGTCCACCAGCAGCTCCCTCCTTGGTTTCTGCCTACACTTGACCCCACTGAAACTTGACCTCCACCTTCCCCCAAGTGTTTTTCCAAATCTCAGCTGCAGGCATGTGCTCCCCTGCCAAAACAGCCCCCAGGTTTGTCTGTCTCAGGAGACTGAGGAGTTACTGGCCCTCTGCTCCTCTCCAAGTCTGGCTCTTGCTGTCTGATTTTCTTTTTGTGGCATCAAAGGCTGTCTTAGCATGGATGACCCTATCTCCTAGCTCCATGGAACTCCAAGCACATGACCTCAGCCTACTCCTGAGAATAGACATTATTCTCCCATTTCAAAGAATGGGAAACTGAGGCACTGGCCAAGGTGTGTATGCAGGTCAACTTCCTTCTCCCTCTTCCTTTTGGCTTCTACACATTGTCTCTGGGCCCCTTGGACAGACGGCCCAGGGAAGGGTCTGCCTCTCCTGCACAGGCAACAGCCAGGCACCCTCCCTGTGCCCAGAACATCCGCCTCCACTTCCAGAACCTGCTCCTGCCCCATAATGCTTTCTGTGTGCCAGTCTCCCTGACTCGACCTTGAACCCTGGAGGGAAGGTGTTCCATCCTTAAGATCCTCAGCCTGGTGCTGGGCAGAGCCCATTCAGTCCATGTCCGCAAAGCGCGCTATGGCGTCTCTTTCACTAGGGGTCTCGAGAACATGTCTCCAGACTGGGGTAGATGGTTAGGCTGGTCCTAGTTGGGGACGGAGGGTTGGCTGACATGTCCTGCCACAGTTCCCTTCAAACCCTTGCACTTTATAGACCACAAACACGGTGGGGACAGGAGTATGTCCCGTTCTGAGAGAGCAGGCAGTCCCCGACCATCTAGACGAGTGGGACATTTGGCCTTTTGAAATGATACACAAATAAAAATTGGGTCTGGCTCTGCTCCCAACATGCCTGGCTTGGCGCCTTGCAAGATGGGAACAGTAACCTGCACTCCTAGGGCTCGAGAGACTGCACGTCAGACCCCCAGCTGGCTTGCTGGAGAGGCCTGAAGATCCAGCACAGAACCCCGAAGATGCAGGGGTCCAGCAAAACGAACGCTACAGAACAGAAGCCCCTCCCGCCCTTGGGAGCACTTCCTGCCATCAAAGATGGCCCGCGCTGGTTATTCCTGG